AGCGACAGTTCACCTCAGGAACGGCGATCGTAGACTTCAGGCCCGAGCCAGGCGAGAGAATGGAATCGGTCCTCGCCAGGTTCGACATGGCCCGTCTTGAAGCTGACTCAGTCGGCTTTGCCATTCCGAACTTTCAGCTACTTGCAATTGTGCTATTTGGAGCCCTAATGCTCTGCCCTGGCAGGGTTGCGCAACTGCTCCAGCCTCCCAACGGTCAGACGCCACGGACCCAGCAACAGTATGACGAACTGTTGGACCGCACGCGTAGCTTTGGGCATCTGGCCGAATCCGGGCAAAGGGAACTATGCACATGCACCGATCCTGGCAAGGCCCATCCTTGACCCAGGATCGATGCATATGCCTTCCTGGCCAAGGTAGGAGGGCGTATGCACCGATCCTGGGCTCAGGATGGGCCTGGCCAGAATCGGTGTATGTGCATAGTTCTTTTTCCTCTACGAATGCGCTCCTCGCAACATTTGAAGCGCGATGCTGGGAGGCACGGGGCGCGGCAGCTGAGCGCATGCACGACAAACACGTCGGCGGAGACGCGGCCGCGCCCGAGAACAGAGGGGCCGACGACTCGAACAGGCCGGAGGGGGCCACTGCATTACCATCGACGGCGGAGGCTGCAGTGACTGGCAGAAGCTACTCCAGATCTCGTAATAAAAGGGAGGGGGTCTGGACCCTCCAAGACAAGCCATTTCAGACCCCCCCCCGTGGGGGAACCCTCCAAAACATCGTCCCCAGACCCCCCCAGGCCCTCCAGGATGGCCTGGAAGAGACCCCCCCCGAAATGAGACCCCCCTCCTTTTTATTACGAAGTCTGGAGTACCCGACGTCGTCAACACAACAGGGCTGGGGACAGCCTTCCATTTCCTGCTCGCACACGGCTCTCGAGAGCCAGGCTGTCCTATGGGGCCACACATCCAATGGGGATTCGCCCGTCGACTTTGGGACAGATCCCGACGCGCTATCATCCGACGGAAACGAACGGATAGGCATGTCGGATGTGCCCCCCGGCCTCGGTGATGCGGAAACGGTTGAAGACTTATTCCTCGGCTACCAACACGCAAAGCGCCGCTGGAGAAGAAGAGGTCCGTACGGCGTGTGCGTAGGGTATAACGGAGAGTATTCCACCGACGGTGGAAGGGTCACGGAAAGGACGGTCGTCGCAACCCACAGTTGCACGGAAAAGGTTTCGCCACATTCATGGCCCCGTGGCCGAAATTTGAAGAAATCTCCCATGCAAATGGTCGAGGTAGACGCAATTACACGGAAAAGGGGAAGGGCAGGAAACTCAACCACATGGACCGAAATAAGGGGAAGAGGATGTTGTGTAACCGCTGCGGAAGCTATTCACATTTTCAGACCAGTGCGACTCTTCGACCAAGGGGAAGGGAGTTAACGCGGGCTCTTTGACGGCTCAAGAAGCAATCGAGGACGTACAGTACGTCGATTGGCCCAAAATCGAGTTCCCTCCACCAAGTACCCTTCTTCCATGCGTCCATTTCCACCGAAAGGTGGTGGCTCGCGCGTCCGACGGCACGCTCTCTGAATTTGGCGGACACGCAACTGCGCACAACGGGGGCATCTCCGGAGCCGAGACGGCCCCTGCTACACCAGCCTAGCTGCGAAACGCCGGCTTACCCAATTTTGCGGAAACGCATAAAGAGGCACCCTCGGCAGAAACAGCCATGCCGACGGGAGCGGGCGCACTGCGTGGAAAAACGCTGAGGCAGGGGACTGGGCTTACGACGAACATCACGCCCGAAGGCCTCATGGACGTTGGGCGGGGCATGGCCAGTTCCAACGCGTATATAACGCATCGCGCCCCACGGCCGTTCACGTGGCCCGGTGGGGGCGCCGCCCGATTGGGATGGCCTCCTCATTGATCAGAGTGACAGGGCCCGAACGGGCATTCACTGTCACTGGGTGCGTGGCTGAAGTGGGGATCCACGGCGAGGATTATTGAATCGCTTCGCTCATTCCGCCGGCCCGTGATATGGCATCGCTGGTTTTTGTCTGTGTGTTCGTTGCCCATGTTGCGCTCTTGGGGGCGGGTGTCGTTCGGACGCGTTGCGTGGGGAGTTTTGATGGTGAAGCAGTTCCCTGGGGGTCGTCTCTCGATGGGGCGAAATAGAGTCGTCGTCAAGATGCTTCTTTGGGGGGCCTCTTGGGGTCTGTTGAGAGGCCGTTCGGGGGCGCCTGGGAGACATGTTTGAAGCCTTCTGGGGCTTCTTTTGGGCCTCCTGGGAGTCTCCTGGGGCCTCTTGGCGACATCTTGGGGCCTCTTGGAGGCCTCTTGGGGCCTCTTTGGGACCTCCTGGGCGCCTTCTGGGACGGAGGGCTCCATTTTTGAGTTCTCGGTATCCCTCCTGAGTCCCTCTTGGGCCCGTCTTGGGGCCTCTTGGTCCGTCTTGGGCGGCACTTGGGCCGTCTTGAGGGCTCTCTTGGGTCGTTTCGGCGCCGTCTTGGGAGCTTCGTGGGCCGTCTTGGAGCGGTCTTGGGGGCCTCTTGGGCCGTCTTGGAGCGTCCGGAAGCCGAAAAAGCCAGAACACAAAAAACATCGAAAAAAACCAATGAAAATCAACGATTTTGGCCTCTTGGGGCTCTCTTCGGAGGCCTCTTGGAAGGCTCTTGGGGCGTCTTGGAGGCCTCTTGGGCTGTCTTGGGGGCCTTTTGGGCCGTCTTGGGGTCATCTTCGGCGTCTTCGAGCGCTCTTTGGGCGTCTCGGGGGCCTCTTGGGCAGTCTTGGGGGCCTCTTGGGGCACTCTGAGCGCGCTCTGGGGAGCCTGAGAGGCCGCACCCAGAAGGAAAACCATCTCTGAGTAGACTTGGTCGGGCGGCGGTCGGGCGGCGACCGGGCGTTGGTCGGGGTACTTTTCGCCGGGGGACCCCCAGGGGCCGCCCCGCGCGCGCGAACTAGAAATACTGTTAATACTGTTAACCAGTTACCGGAGATCTTAGCACGCCCTGGCCCGTTGGGCCGGCGAATTCTTGTTGTTTTGTTGTTGTTTTGTTGCGTCGTCCCCACCCAGACCCGTCCGCGACCCGTCCGCGACCCGTCCGCGACCCACCCCGCGACCCACCCGCGACCCACCCGCGACCCACCCGCGACCCACCCCTCGACCCACCCCGCGACCCAGCCGCTACCCATTCCGCGACCCACCCGCGAATCACCCGCGACCCACCCCGCGACCCACCCGCGACCCACCCGCGACCGATCCACATTGGTTTGAAGAAAAAATCTGCGCCTGCGGCGGGCTCGTTGTATAATTTGTAAAACTTTGGCGCCTGCGGCAGGCTTTTCCAGAGTCTCGCAGACTGCCGACGTCCCCACCGCCCTCTCACTCTTATCCGCATATGCGGGGTGCTACGTACTTCTGATATCGGGGGGCTCTAGGTATGGGCGGCCACTTTCCATACGCCCTCCGCTGATCTCTGCCATCGTTGCGCAGAAGGGGGCTGGCGCGATGGGTTGTTTTTTTTCGAGAGCTCCCCTCTTCCCATCACTCCCCCACTCATTATCCCTCTCTCCTCCTCCCTCTTCCCCGCTCCGTCATCCTCTCTCGGCTCTCTCCTCTCTTGCTCTCCTTCGCTCCCTCCCCGCTCCACCCGCTTGGTGCCTCGGGCGCTGCGCACCGGGAGGTGGGCGCAGGTCCTCTTCTTCTTCCCCCTCCTCCTCCCCCTCCCCTCCCACCGGTACGCTGTCCATGTTAAGTGTGCGTGGGTGCGTGTGCGTGCGTGCGTGCGTGCGTGTGCGTGCGTGCGTGCGTGCGTGCGTGTGCGTGCGTGCGTGCGTGCGTGCGTGCGTGTGTGTGTGTGTGCTTCTCGTAGTTCCCTGCTGCTCCCGTCCGTCCTTCCTCCCGACCCGGCGCGTCGCCTCGTGTGCTCGCCCGCTCACGCCCCTCCTTCGCCCACTGTTCGGTCGGGTAAAGTACCGTGGAGGCGCATGCCAAGAAGCACCCTGCCTGCATCCAGGGTTTTGTGGGCTTCTTTCGTCTCGATGGCTTCGCGATGGAAAGGCGCGACGTCCCCACTTCAAAAATCAAGGGACGTCCTGGGGTCTCAGGGTTGAGTTTCTTGTGGAAGGTTTCTTGTGGTCGGGCCTCCACTGTAGATCGATATTCACACTCGCAGCGGCTTCATCCTTATCCTTACCCCCCTCCTCCTCCTCCTCCTGTTCCCTGCTCAGACGACATGAATATGAGCTTTCGGAGTTCCGCGCGGATTTCTTGAAGCCGCGTTGGGCCCCCCCCTGGCGGTGCCTCAGGCGTCGCCCGCTGCGCGTTCCGCGCGCCAGGAACGGGGGCCCAGCGCCGATCCGAGAAATCCGCGCGGACCCCCTAAAAGGATGGATTCATGGCACTGCTTGCTTCTCGACTGCACTTGAGCCGAGGTATAAGAGGGAGGTCAGTTCGGGGAGGGCACACCAGTGCTCTTCGCGCTTGTTTGATGTTCTTGTGCATCCTGGGGAGGGTAATACCCCTGGATGTTCTGTGTGTTCTGGCCGGCGGAGGGCCTCGTGCTCTTGGAGGGTGTCCTTCTGGCCCAGGTCCGACTGCACGGGGTCCCCGGAGGGGGCGCGCGGGGTGCAGGTCGCGCCGCCCCCCCCCCCCCCTTACCAGCCTCGAGCGTATCCCTATCCCTAAGATTGACACGCCAGAAGGCGACGACAATCTTACAATCTTAGGGGTTCGCCCTCAAAACATGAGGACATCCCTGAGGTTGGCATCGTGATGAGGAGGTGCCCAGCATACTCCAGATTTCGTAATAAAGGGAGGGGGTCTCATTTCGGGGGGGGGTCTCTTCCAGGCTATCTTGGAGGGCCTGGGGGGGTCTGGGGACGACGTTTTGGAGGGTTCTTCCACGGGGGGGGGGTCTGAAATGGCTTGTCTTGGAGGGTCCAGACCCCCTTCCTTTTATTACGAGATCTGGAGTAGGGATAGGGATACGTTCCAGGCTGGTAACCCCCTCGCTCCCCCGCCGAGCAGCGCCCAGGTGCCGCAGGCGCAGAGCAGATCGAGGCGCCCGGGGGCAACGCTCAGGCGCGCCCCCTCTGCCCCCCCCTCCGCGCCCTGCGCCTCCCCCTCGCGCCGTCCCGCGGGGACCAGGGCGGCTTCTCCAGCCTCCCTCCTCCTCCTCCTCCTCCTCCTCCTCCTCCTCCCCCTCCTTTCCTCCTCCTCCTCCTCCTCCTCCTCCTCCTCCTCCTCCTCCTCCCTGGAGGTTCGGGTGCTGCTAGAAGTGCCCCCGGCACCGATGCAGTGGAGGCCCATGCCGAGGAACACCCCGCTTGCCTCCAGGGTGCCCTGGGCTTCTTGGGCTGCGGCGGCTCCGCTGTGGGGAGCGCGACGCTCCCGCGCCGCAGAGCAACCGCCCCAGGGTTGGGTTTCCTGCAGGAGGTTGCTTGTGGACTGGCCCCCACTCACTGTACAGCGAAGGCCAGCCCCGCAGTTCTACAGCCTCCCCCACACAGCCCCCATAGCCGAGGCATCGGCGATGCATCGGCGATGCGGCTCGATGTGGGGCCCAGTTTCCTCCACGCCAACGTCGCCGATGCGTCGCCGCTGTCGCCAGTGCATGGCCGATGCATCGCTGATGTATCGGCGATGCGGCGAGATCCTCCGACCCCATCTGCGTGGACCCCAGCTAGGAGTCCTCGACCCCAGAGGATCAAAAAAGGTGCCGCTGATGTTGGCCCCATACCCCCCCCCCTTTAGAGGATGACAAGGTGCAGTGCGGCTAATGGTAGGCCCGCCCTTCTCCCCGGCCCCGCTGGCGGCGGCGAAAGATGTCATTCTTCAGGAGGGATACAAACACACGAACACAGTTAATCGTCGATCCCCAAGGAACTATGGGAAACTATGGGAAGTGTGGGGGGGGGAAGACAAACACCCAGAACATAAGGCAAAATATGGGGAATCCTGTTATTTGTGTGTGTGCATTTACTTGTGTGTCCCAGGGCCCCTTCAATTCTTCTTCTTCCCCTTCTCGGCACTGCGACCCCCAGCCGGCGGCCGTGGGTGGACTCCTCCGCGGGCGCAGCCAGAAAGAGCACCGCCCCCGCGCGAGCAAAATTGGGGGGCCACGTGCAAACCCCACCCCTACAGTGAGCGTCTTGAGCACGGAACACTTACTTTTCAAAAGGGGCTCGGCCGCTCCTTAGATTCGCATGCGTTGTTCGTTGTTCCTCATGATTTATGTATTGTGTATCTATCGTTCCTTATGCGTTCTTCCCTTGAGAAGAAGGGGCTTCGTTCCTTATTTATCGTTCCTTAGGTCAGGCCGTTGACGGTACCCCCCACACGATTTCTGAGGGAGAGGGCGGGGCTCACTTCGCTCGGGAGCTCCCGAGCGACGTGAACCCCCCCCTCCCCCTCCTGGGCACCATCCCGACCCGCCCCACGAGGCTCGCCCGGCCGAGGCGACGGGGCGGGGCCCGAAGGGCTCGGGAACAGCCAGAGGCCGCGCGAGGAGAAGGGCGAGCCCTCCCCTTGCGAAGGAGGGAGGCCGCGCCGAGAAGCCTGCGAGGACGAAGCTGGTGGGGGGGGGGGAAGAGATAAAACAGGGCTAGGATCGGGATAAATCGCTCCAGAGCGTTCCGGAGCAGAGCGTTCCGGAGCGCTCTCAGAGCGTTCCGGAACGCTCTGGAGCGGCCGCGGCGCCAAATACATCCTCCAAACCCGCCGATTCTCAGAGATTTCGAGTTATCCCGATCCGATTTTGTCCCGATCTTCGCGTCGTTTTGAGAGAGGGGGATCCGGCGGCAGGCTCCTCCCCGTGGTGGCCCCCTAAAGACGAGACGCAGAGATGGTGGACGCCCGAGAACGGGAGGCGACGGGAGGGGCGGCCGTCCAGGCGCACGTTCAGCCCGGGGAGAAGCCAGGGGCAAAAAGGGGCTCCGGGGGAGGGAAGGGGCGGAGGGGGAGGGAGGGCAGGAACGGGAGGAGGGAGAGGAGAGTCGGAGAAGAACAACAACAAACACATAACACGCACGGGCAGAGGCGGATGGGGAAGAGCCAGGGGCAAGAGGGGCTCTGGGGGAGGGAAGGGGCAGAGGGGGGGGGCAGGAGCGGATGGAGGGAGAGGAGAGTCGGATAAGAAAACAACACAAACACATATAAAACAAAACACAAAAACAAAAAAAACAAATCACTAACAACAAAACATAAAACTTTGAGCGCCCCGCGCGGCGATTTCTGGCACGCACGCTGGGCCCTGGCCCCCCCCCCCCCGGCGGCGCCTCCGGCGCCGCCCCCGCCCCCGGCGCACTCCGCGCGCCAGGGAGGGGGATCCAGCGCAGGGAGGGCGGACATAGCGCTGAGGAAAAACACGTGAGTAGAAGCATGACCATCTAACAGAAAACTATGGAATGCCTGACTGTACAGCGTGGCTGGTCGCGCGTGGCGGCACCAGGCACGCTGTCCTGCTGCGTTGAAACAGCCTTCGGCCACTGGCCACGGGAGGTTCTGTCCAGATCTCCCGCTCTTGTGGGGTTCACCTTGTTGGGGCCAGACTGGGGGAGGAGGAGGAGGAGGAGGAGGAGGAGGAGGAGGAGGAGGAGCAGGAGGAGGAGGAGGAGGAGGAGGACTTCGTAATTTTCGCTTCGAGGGGCAAGTCTACTACGGGGACGTACCGTCGGCTAGTAGCTGACCCCCTGGCTCCGTCAGGGGCGCTGCCGATGTCGACGCGGCTCCACCGCACCCAGCCCCAGGGGAAGGTGCAGAGGACAGAGGAGGTGGGAGGACGGGGAGAGGAAACTTGTCTAGGGTGGCTGGCCTGCTGCCCTCAGAGGAGGGAGGCGGACGAGGAGCAGGGGGAGAAGGAGGAGGAGGACGACGAGGACGAGGACGAGGAGGAGGAGGAGGCAGCGAGGAGCGGGGGGGACGGCGACGCAGGAGGGACCCAGGGACCCCCCCCGGCCCGCCCGGCGCACCCCTCCGCGGCGGCAGCCCGGCGCGGCGCAGTGTGCCATCTGCCTCACGGTGGTGGAGAAGGGCACCTTGTACACCGAGCTGGCGTGCAGGCGTCCGCGGGTCGGAGGCGGAGGGTCAGAGGAGGAAAAGGTGCCCATACCTCTACCCTCCCCTCGTTTTCCCCTCTTTGGGCCTCCTGGGCCTCCGTCGTCGCCACCGCTGGATTCGCCTCGAAGTCCTAGTCAGAACGCACCCCGGGAGAGGTCCGGGGAGTAGCGATATCGGTACCTTTTGGTTCCCCCAGAGGTCAGACAGGGCCAGGACGAGGATCAGTCCGCTGGAGTGCGTTGCGGAGAGCTCTCTCGGAGCGCTCCAGAACATTTTGAGGAGGCCGCGGCGCCCGAGACGTCCTCCAGGGCTGCCGGATCTCAGGGATTCTCGAGTTATTCTCGCCCGATGTTTTCCTCGTCTTGGCTTCGGAGGAGGAGGGGGAGGAGGACACGGAGGAGGAGGAGGAGGAGGAGGAGGAGGAGGAGGACACGGAGGAGGACACGGAGGAGGAGGGTCCATTGAAAGTCGGTCCGGAGGCCAGATAGCTCCCAAGATTCAGAGCGGAGTAGAGCACCAGACCGCCATGCCGCTACCTCGATGCAGGGAGCCGCCTGCGGTCACGAGGGAAACGCGGGACCGGGCAATGGAGCAGCCATATATAAGAGCTTGGATTACCTATCCCGGTTTCGCTTCCATAGGTGCATGGCGCATCTCCACCTTACAGTACCGCCATGCCGCTTCTTTCTTCCACCCTGCCACGCCCCCAGGGCACGAAGGCCGCTGGGGGGGGCTTCACCACATTGGAACCGAAACCCACGTACTTGAAGGCCCTTGGGTTGAGGGAGGAAAATGAGGAGGAGGGGGAGGAGGAGACGGAGGAGGAGGAGGAGGAAGAGGAAGACGACCAGTGTAAACCAACTATTCATCACCAATGTTGGAGGAGACCCTCCCTCCAAGCTCACACCTTCGTAGGCCCCTACAAGGTATCATTTTCATCAGTGAAGTGCACCGTTGGGAAACAACCGTTGGAAGATCCTGAAGCGTGCCAAAATATCATTTTTGAAACTTCAACGCCACACATCAACTTGACTGTTGCGTCTTGACGACCCCGAGTCGCGCCAGAACGCAATGTTTAGGATTTTGACACCGCGGATCAACGTAACGGCTGCGCCCCAGCAATCCTGAGTTGTTTCAAAACGCTTGTTTATAACCATTGGGATCCGCGAAACGTTTTCAAAATCTGCAGACGCATGTGCGCGGCGCTCAGACGAGAGCGACATATTCAAAAGAACCCTTAACACATGACATTGCAGCAAATGCTTGAAACGCATGTGCGCGGCGCTATGCGAGAGCCGCATTTTGAAAACCGCCCGCCCATAAGTCCGTGAAATTCTCCCCCCAAGTGCTTAAATCGAGCTGCACGGCGCCAAGGCGAGAGGCACACGTTGAAAACGGCACACCCTTCATCTGTTAAGTTTCTTCTTTTCAAAGAAAATAATACATAACAAACAGTTTGTAGACTTCAGGATCATCTGTGGTGAGGAGGTCTCGGGCGGAACGTCCAGCCCGCCCTCCCGACTGGCCTCGGGCTGCGACAGGGAGGAACCGCTTGCAGGGAGGAGGAGTGCAGGAGGAATAAGAGGAAGAAGAAGAAGAAGAAGACGAAGAGGAATGCAAGGAAGAGGAGTGCAGGACGAAGAAGAAGAAGAAGAAGAGGAAGAAGAGGAACGCAGGAAGAGGAATGCAGGAATAAGAAGAAGAAGAAGAGGAATGCAGGAATAATGCAGGAAGAAGAAGACGAAGAAGAAGAGGAAGAGAAAGAGGAATGCAGGAAGAAGAAGGAGAATAAGCAGAAGAAGAAGAAGAAGAAGAGGAAGAGGAAGGAGAGGAGGATGCGCAGCACAGGAGGACCGAGGAGGACGGAGGACGGGGGAGGACGGCGGAGAGCGGAGGAGGAGGAGGGGGCGGGCCGTCGGGAGCGGCGGCAACGGCGACGGCCGCCGAGGCCGACGGGCACGATGCGGCAGCTGGACGAGGAGGGCGGAGGGGGGCGGGAGGAGCAGGGAAGGGAGGAGCAGTCAGAGGGGCAGGAGAAGCAACAGGCGGCTGGAGATGGAGAAGGAGAAGGCGGAGGAAGGAGGATGAGGAGGAGGAGGAGGAGGAGGAGGAGGAGATGCGCAGGGAATTCAGAGCAGGGAGGGCGGGAGGAGCAGGAGGGCGGGAGGAGGGCGGAGGAGGGCGGGAGGAGCAGGGAATCAGAGCATGAATTACCCACCCCGCTTTCGCTTCCAGGCAAAACCAAGTCGTACCACGCGCCTCCTCGTCAAGGGGCCTGTCCAGTACAGGCCGTCGTTTGGCATCGCTTGGTATCTCTTGGAAGCGAGGGTGGTCAAAAGCGAGGTAGGTTTGTTTGCCCCCTAGGGAAGGAAAGAGCAGTCAGAGGGGCAGGAGAAGGAACAGGCGGCTGGAGATGGAGAAGGAGAAGGCGGAGGAAGGAGGAGGAGGAGGAGGAGGAGGAGGAGGAGGAGGAGCTGCGCCGATGCCCTGCGGAGAGGCACGGCTTCCACCCCGCCTGCATCTCGCGCTGGCTGATGCAGAACGTACGCCCGGGCGGGCGAGGCGGGGGAGGAAGGAGGGCGGGGGTGGGGGCGGGAAGAGCGTGTGCAGATCGCTGCCGCAGCCGCGTCCGCGGTGGATTGGGGCTCGCCTAGGGAGCCCATGACCCCCCCGTGACCGTGTCGTCGAGCTCACACGGGCGGACGAGCCACGCCATGTGCAGGGAGAGGGGAGGAGGAGGAGGAGGAGGAGGAGGAGGAGGAGGAGGAGGAGGAGGAGAATAAGAAGAAGGAGAAGAAGAAGAAGAAGGAGGAGGAGGAGGAGGTGGAGGTGGTGGTGGAGGAGGAGGAGGAGGCGGGGGGGGCTGAAGGTGCTGGCCAGCGCGCGAAGCGGCCAGGCCCTCACACTCTCCCGCGCGATCCCCCCCCCTGCCACGGGGCCGCCACCGCCCAGGGAGGGACTCACGCGCGAGACGCCCGAGCGCCCTGCACCAGCGCGTCGAGCTCGGCGGGGTCCACGGCCACTGGCTCAGCCCTCGCGGGCGGCGCAACCGCCAGCGACTCGGCAGGCGGCCGAGAGCGGCGCATCGCCCGCGCAGCAGGCGCCGCGCCACCGCAGCCGAGGGCGCTGGCCGCACCGCGAGGTCGGCCTGGCTGTCCTCCTCCAGCTCCGCACCGCCACCAGCCCCGACCACCGCGGCGTCGAGGTGGTCCACGTGCAGCTGCTGTCCTTGGCATCGCTCGGACGTGTGCATTTTCCCTTCGTCGAAAACCATCGAGGGGCATCCTTGATCATTTGGCGAAAAAGCCACGCACGAAACCAAACAAACACAGGGAATGGACGTCTGAGCGATGGCAGACCTTCGCCTCCAGTTCGACGAGGTCGGGCCCGATCCCGACGCCGCTGCCTCCGCCGAAGAGGCCTGCCAGGAGCAGCCGCCGTGGGAGCGCCGGCCTGCGCCGCGGCTCTATCGCCAGCGCCAGGGGCGGACGTTGCCGAGCACGGCCGCCGCCGCCCGCGGGAGCGCCTCCGCAGAGGCCCGCGGCGGCCTGCGCCGCCGCCAGAGGGCGCAGGTCACCACCGGAGGCCCGCGGACGCGCGCATCTCATCTAGGGCGAGGGCCATCGAGGAGCATCTCTGATCCTCCTGCGGGCCAGCAGATGGGAGGCCACACGCGGACCCTACCCCCACCCCCCACGCTTTCTGAGGGGGAGGGGGGGGTTCACCTCGACCGGGAGCTCCCGGTCGAAGTGAACCCCACCCTCCCCCTCGGAAATCGTGCGAGGCAGGCGTAGGGTTCGCATGTGGCCCCCTAGCAGGCGCCCGAAGCGCCGGAGCGTGCACGGGGAGCGGGCGCCCGAGCGGCGGCAGGCGCGGCCCGGCGCGCGCGGCGGCACGGCGTGCCGCGGGGCGAGGGCCGCCTCCGCGGCGCGGGCCGGGCCCAGCGTGGCCGGCAGGGGGCGGGGGAGGGGCGGCAGGGGGCGGGGAGAGGAGGAGCAGGAGGAGGAGGAGGAGGAAGAGGAGGAGGAGGAGGAAGAGGAGGAGGAGGAGGAGGAGGAGGCGGAGGTGGTCGGGGGTGGACAGAAGTCAGAGCCCCGAATCATCAGGGGTAACTCGGGTCAGGGTTAACTCGGGTTCGTTTTTCGGGAATCCGAACCCGAGTTACTCCGGACCCGAGTTACCCCGGATAATTCGGGCGTCCAGAGCCCCACATCATCAGGGGTGACTCGGGTCAGGGCTAACTCGGATTCCTTTTTCGGGAATCCAAGCCCGAGTTACCCCGGACCCGAGTTACCCCGGATAATTCGGGCGCCCAAAGAAGCCCCAAGAGTGACACGTCGATTCGTGAATCGTCCGTGTTCGGTCCTCGAGGGGGCGCCGTGGCCGTTGTTGTCCAGGCTTGCGCCCGCCAGGTTTGGGCCTCAGGTCGTGTTCACTAGACAAGGCTTTACTAAAGTGGGGTCTGTCCAACCCCGGAGGTGGGGGCGGCCCAGAGAGTGGAGGGAGAGGGGCCGAAGGCGAGGCGAAGAAGCGAGAGCGATAGCGGGCAGAGGGGACGAGAGGAGAGAGCGAGCGATGGAAGGGCGCGCGCGACGACGACGACGACGACGACGACGACGAGGAGACGACGACGACGACGACGACGACGACGACGACGACGACGACGACGACGACGACGACGAAGGCGACGACGACGGCGACGGCGACGGCGACGGCGACGGCGATGGCGACGACCGCGACGGCGACGACGACGGCGACGGCGGCGACGACGACGACGGCGACAATGACGACGACTGACCACGACTGCTCCCGTGCGCGCCGGCTCAAGAGGGGACCTCGTTCACGGCTGCGGTTCTGTTTGGGGGGCGGGGGTTGTTCCGGTTCTATTGTGAGCGGCTTGAGTAAGGAACACTTACTTTTCAAAAGGGGCTCGGTCGTTCCTTAAGGCCTGCATGCGTTACGTATCCTCCCTTATGCGTTTTTAAATTATTTATCGTTCCTTATGTGTTTTCCCTTGGAACACAGGGGCTGCGTTCCTTAGTTATCGTTCCTTAGGCCAGGTCGATGACTGTAGGGCCGATGTTTTGGGACGTTTCCGTCGTCTCGCGGCGTCTTTCCAGGCTCCGGATGCTGTTGTCCAGCAGCCGCGCTGCGCCGAGAGCGATCCCGGGGTGCCCACATCGGTCCGGACGTCCGCATTTCACCAACTACCAAACCACCCCAACCCAACCCGAAGGCTTCAATTTGCCCTCCATATCCAGTGGGGGGGGGTCGGGGAACGTTGAAAAGACACATGGTGCCCGTACCCCCCCCAACCCGAAATTCGGGTCAAATTCGGATCTTCGGGTTGGGTTGGGGTGGTCTGGTAGGTAGTCAGCATTGGATCAGGAACAAGGACACAGGGGGGATATGCAAGCTGTCACGGCTGAGGCCCTGGCCTTATACGTATCTTTCGCAGTTCATCGTGGCGTTGGCATTCTGTGGTCAACACTTGAGAACTAGGTTCCCCGATATCGGAGAAGAACCACTGGCACACACATGCATTGTTGGAGGTATTCACGGAATGTGTTCGGTCTGTTTTGAGCTCCCGTTGATGGCGCCTCATGCGCCGCTCATGGCTCGCCCCGCGCGCCATGGGAGGAGGGTCCAGCGCAGACCAATTGACCCGCGCGAACGTCCGAGAGTTGATGCTTCCAGTATGTGGTTCTTCTCCTGGGGAGGGCAGGGGGAGTCAGACGGGAGAGGGAAAGGAGGATCGGGGACCACGGATCTTGATCTTCGGGTCTTTTCGGCCTCCAGGAGGCGTTTGAACCCTCTTTCTAACCCCTACAAGCTCCCGAAAAGCCTCCGGAGAAAGGCTTACCCATCGGTCGTTGAAAGTAGGTATGTTTGGATTCCCAGATTCCAGTCTACTTTCAGCGCCTTCCTACTTCAAGAACCGAGTGGTTATCCCCCTTCCCTCCTCTTCAGGAGGCGTGCGGAAACCCAATCTACTTCCAACGCCTTCCCACTTCATGTTCCTACCTACTCCTTCCGACCGATGGGTAATTTCGATCCGATCGATCCGATTCGACGTCACTTCCCGTCTGCTCGATCCGCGTCGATCCGAATTCGGGGCGGCCCGTCGCGGCCCGATTATGGCCGAATGACGTGTTTGGGCGTCTGTGCGCGGCCGATCCGATTCGGCTTCGGCTCCGTCCCGAGGAAGCCCGATCCGACGCATTCCATCGGCGTCACTCCGACATACTTCTATCGGGGGTGGACAGAACCCCCAACAGTGACACGTCCATTAGTGAATTGTCCGTTCTCGGTTTTCGAGGGGGCGCCGCGGCCGTCATTTTCCAAGCTTGCGCCCGCCAGGTTTGGGCCCGAGGTCGTTTTCACTAAACCACGAGTTACTAAAGGGAGGTCTGTCCATCCCCGAAGGAAGCCCGATCCGACGCATTCCAAAGCGACCCGATTTCCCGATTCGGTGCTGATTGAGTTGGCAGAGGCCGCCGAAGACCTCCCGGAGGGGCCGCAGGGGACGTGATTGGGCGTCTTTGCGCGGCCGATCCGATTCGGTGTCGGCTCCGTCCCGAGGAAGCCCGATCCGACGCATTCCAACTCGATCGAAATGGGTACTGAAAGAATGGGTACAATGCCCAACAGCGGATCTTGTTCATTCTGAACAGGGCTCGCTGTCCACGCCGCCGCGGCCTGTGTCCATTCGAGACAGAAGGCCGCCTGCCCAACAGCGGCCGCTGTTGGTTTGGGACAACATTTGCTGTTGGGCATTGTACCCATTCTTTCGGTACCCATTTCGGGTGTCCAAAGCAGAGGCCGCCAAAGACCTCCCGGAGGGACCGCAGGGGTCGGATGCGTGGAGGGATGGTCTCGGGAGGCAGGCAGGCAGGAAGGCCGAGGGCCCAGGGGGGGGAAGACCGAGAGACCGAGAGATAGAAGGAGGGAGTGGAGGGGGGGTGGAAGAGTGACGTAAACATAAACATTCGGAGGTCCGCGCGGATTTCTCGGATCGACGCTGGACCCGGATCGGATCTGGGCGGCAGGAAAGTTTATATTTTTACGGTGGCACCGTAGGGGTATAGACTTTCCAGCCGCCCAGGGACAGGCACCCCTGACAGCGACAAAGTTTATGTGACACCGTTCTTCGCCCGTTAACGAACAGACGCAGCTTCGGCTTCCAGCTGTCCTGTGTCCTTACCACCCGACCTTCACACACGTTTTCATGGCGTTCTACCTCAAGGGTAGGAGTGCAGGAGTGTTTGGTGTCCGAACATCCCGTGCCGAAGAGGATCTATGTGAGAATGGCAGTGCGAAGTGCCACCCGCACGTGGGAACAATAGCGTTGTGCGCATCGGCTTGGTGATCCTGATGCTGCAGGTTATCCTCCTGCAGGTGGTGGGGGGATCGTTCCTCGTCTCCGCCGAAAGGACCTTGCGGCGACGAAAGCAGAACCGTGGACGAACTCAAATTTGAGATGGAGCCCGACTACGAGCCAAGCGAGCTGGTTGCCAGCCCAGCACCCTCTTAGCTTGAAGCGAACATTTTGAAGGCCTGATCTGTATGCGCTGCCTGCTCCGCGCAGAGACAAACAGTACGAAATGCTAGAGACCGCATCCACGGTCCTCCAGGACGGAAGCCACCAGACGACATTAGAGCTCCAGGAGGCGAAGTCCATCATGGAACCCGAGCAGACTGAGAAGTGCGACGCGAAAGAGGGCTTGAGCTGCCCGCGCTGGGCGCTCTCGGTCGAGCGCCTGCAGCTCGGCATGGCGAGGGAGGAGGACGACGCGCCGTGGAGCGTGACGATCCTGGCATCCAGTGGGGAGAGGGACTCCGCGCGCAGGAGCCGAGACCCGAGCGGCAGAGGAGCGGAGGTCGTGTGACGCACCGCTTGGGCGCCCTGCTGCTCACCTTCGGCCGCCGGCACGACGTGCACGCTGCCGCCAGGCAGACAGATGCGAACATATTGAAGGAGACGAGGCGGGAGGACGGCGACTCGAAGCGGCAGATCGTGAACGTGACGACGGCGGTTCGCAACCAGAGCCGCGGTCTTGAACACCGGGAGCCTGCGTGGACGGCACGCGACCACCTGGGAGAGGGGGGGGACGCGGCCCTGGCCGGGATGACGCGGGAGCGTAGCGCCTCGACGCAGAAGACGCGGAATCTGGAGGGGGGAGGGGGAGGCGCAGGAGAGGAGACGCGCTCGGCTCGCGATCCGGAGGGCCGAGGAGCGAGAGCTCGGAGGCGACCGCCTGGCTGGCCCCACCCGTGCTCTTGAGGCGCCCCAGGCGCTCCCGAGTGCGCCCAGAGGCGCCTTAGAGCGCCCCACACACGTGTTTTTACGCGTCGGAGACGTATGGAGCCCGGCCAGAGGCGCCAGAGTCTCCGGATTGACGTCTCACACCTGTTTTTACGTGTCGGAGACGTATGGAGCCCGACCAGAGGCGCCAGAGTCTCCGGGTTTGGGGTGTTGCATTCTTCGAGGATCAGGGGGGAGTTTTCGGGCCGGACGAAAGGGGGGGATTGGGAAAGGGGGGGGTACGAAATTTGCTGCATGTAGCTGGTTTCGGCCCCACCGAGGGGCCCATTCCTCGATACGTGGGCGCCTCCCGGCGCCGGGAGGCGCCGGGAAAATCAGCTGCGTGAGCTGATTCTCAAACCCCCCTTTTGCTATCCCCCCCTTTCGCCCGACCCGAAGCTTATCGTTGAGTCACGCCTCGCTCCCGAGGAGCGGGGCGAGGTGCTCTCTCCTGGGGCCCGCAGCGAGAGGGGCGGCTCGGCCGAGGCCCCTGCGGAGGCCTGCCCCCCTCCGACCGCCGCCTCGAGGGCCGTGCCGCGGGAGGCGGCGCCGCGTGCCCTCCCTCCCGCGCGCTTCCTTCTCGCGCCCTCGGGGGCCAGCTGCGGCTGCCTTGCACCGCGCCGTCTCGGGGGAGGCCATCTGTGTCTTCCCCATATCCTCTCCTCCCCCTTCCTCCTCCTCCTCCTGCTCCTGCTCTTCCTTCTCCTCCTCCTCCTCCTCCTCCTCCTCCTCCTCCTCCTCCTCCTCCTCCTCCTCTTCCTCATCCTCCTGCTCCTCCTCCTCCTCCTCCTCCTCCTCCTCCTTCTCTTCTCCTCTTGCGCTGCCCCGACAAATCTGTGAGGAAGCCTCCTCCTCGAAGACCGTGCTGCGGCGCGGCGTGCGCCTGTGGGGTGGGGG